AAGAAAAATTGCATGGAGAATAGATGGTTTTTTTTTTTTTTTTTGTTGTATTAACTAAAATAGCTGCTATTTGAAGGAAAATGTTTTTTTTTTTTTTCCAGAGATGAAATGTACCAACAAAATTGATTTTATTACATTTTAAATACACTTATCTTGTTTTCACTTCACATTTTTTGTTGCTTGTCAAAAAAAGGAAGAAAAAATTAAAAAAAGATAAAAAAGAAAATGGCTATTTGTCTGGAGAATAGATGCCTAGGAAATTTGTTGCAGATTTACCGATCGTTCACTATTCCCACAAGATGCAGAAATTGGTGCTGGTGCAGCTTTTATTGAAGTAGATGCTATGGATTCGATGGAAATAGTTTGTCCTACATATAGCATGCATGATAATATTGATAAGTATGAGCAGCTTATTGTTCATCAGGTAACAAAAGCCAGTAATCTATCGTCATACATTCAGATTTATACTTCTTCAAGTTGTTCAACTATGAAAAAACCCCAAATTAGTGTTCATTATATTGAACTTTTTTATGATCATAATATTACATGTCCTCAAAATTAAAGCATTTGGCAGGTATCTGATTTGTCATTTATGAGCTGTGAATTGGACAGTCGTTCGCAGGCATTTCTCATATGCGACTCGCCTCTAGCGACGACATCTATCAGTCATAAAATTGTATTTCGCCAATTTTCTCCTTTACCAAATGGTTTCGAATATCAGCCTGGCCGATCCTATTATTTGATTAGTTAGTTTTTTTGCAGTTCCACAGATTTTACTAAACTTCAACTTATAAAAATACATTATGCTGAAAAGAAACTTTTCATTTAATCAACTATAATATTTCACAAAATTCTATTGTTATCATCATTATTTTGGAAATCAAAAATTTAGCAACATCAAATGGATCCACAGAAGGCATGAACAATACTCGGTTGGGACTTTGTGTTACTGCGAATATGAGGTTGCGTATTGATGTTCGGCCTTTGAGTGATGACTCTTATCCAAGTTCTGAAGAAGGTACTGAGCTAAACATGCTGCTTGTTTCTGAGAAGAAATTCAAACTAGAAAACCAAAATTAAATTTAAATCAATTTCTTTTACTTTTCGAAATTAGAATAGTAACATTGTTTCTAATAATAAATTATCAAATCAGAAAATGCCAGAAGTTTAGCATTTAATATTTCATTTCTTGTTGGTGGACATTACTATCTGGTATTTCTCAAAATCTTAGATAAAAGCAACCTTATTATTAAATAGATTTCCATCATTCAGAAAATTCCGAGCTGACACGCGTAATTTTTCATGTGTAAGCGAATGTTATAAGTTTAAAGCAGTATGTTAGGAATGGATATGAAGTCTGAGGTGTTGGAGTCATTGGAACCAAAAAGAACTGGGGAAGAAGACTGGTCTCGAGATCGTCGAATAAAACCACCTACAGCTGACAATGCAAAAACAGAGCAGGTCAGTAGTACATCAGTTATCTGAACACTTTGACCATTATATCAGTAAACAATAATTCTTATTGTGTGATTTAGGGTCTCGGCAAATGTTGGTGGTAAAATAATGTGTTGAGGATAATGAGAACAATAAAAGTTTTTAATTCCTCGACTTTTAATTTAATTGGCATGGTAAAGCATATTTCCAGGATATCGATATGCTAAACAATGAGTCACAGAAGTTCGCTGAAAAACACGGTTTTGATTTGATGCGACTAGAGTACGTCAGGCAGTTAGCGATAGATGGGGTTGAAGGCGATTTTCCATTCCGGGAGCTTGAAAATGACTCTATGGTTAGCAGCTTGCAAAATTAAATCTCGGAAGAGTTGACAACTGTTTTGTTTTTGAATTAGTCTTCGAGATAGTTCCAATGATTCAAAATAATGAAATCCAAATTTTGTAGAGAGTTTCGATGGGTTCACCGGAGACCAAGCTTGCCAGTGGTCCGGGGCGGCCAAGTTTTTCAAGTACACTTTCTGACCGTGAAACGCTTCATTCGACAAGTAGGCAGGCGCAGCGATGGATTTCAAAAGAAATACAAAGTAGATTCGGTGCTTCACGGGACGTTTTCCCCGACCAGAATACAAGTGGCATAGAATCTGCGAAGGATTATGTTGTAGACGACGTGTCCGGTAAAGTTACCAAACTGATATCTAATGCTTGGAAAATTGGAGTGAGAAAAAATTTCAATATTATAGTACCAGACCACCAGAATTTACCATTCTGCTAACGAATTCCTTCTTAGAATATGTCTAAATGTCACACTATTTCTCACAAGATCATCCAGTGTATTTCTAGGTGGAGGCGCTATATTTGGGCGGCTAGAAGCTAAATATGTAATTATCAATGCATTGTTATTGTTATGGAATTCAGGAAGGTAACACGAACTATTTCTGTGATTATAAAAGAGGGCTGGGTGTGCACACGCTGTGGGTGCACACCATTAGTGATAACCCGAAGTCTCGATCCCGCCAAGTTGGATGTACGCAGTACTCTGCTTTTCCCGAAATGCTACATTATTACAACACCGATTGATTCAT